GGCGGGGGAGTGTGCGCCTTGGCCGGCGCTGGCCGCAGCGTGCGCCCGTCTTCTGCTTTGTTGCAACTTCCAGAAAGTTTGGGGGGTTGAGAGGTTCGGGGTTTTGGTTTTGTTTTGGTTTTGTTTTGTTTTGCTTTTTTCTTTTTCTTTTGGCTGCTGATCTCTGCTTTTCTGTCCCGATTCCTTCCCTTTCTTGCTCTTCTACCTGGCACCTGGCGTGCCTTTGTTTCTTCTAGCCCCAATTTTGTCCCGCTTTCATAAAGCTTCTGCAAAACAACTTGCAGTGCCTGTCTTAACGGGCTGGGACTAACTGAAAAAGAAATTATTTTGGTAATTGCTTAGAGATCTTTTGAAATGCTACTATATGTTTTCTCTCTCTTCTAGATTATTTATGCAAACCTGAGGACAACATTTACAACATTGACTTCACTAGGTTTAAGATCCGTGACCTCGAAACTGGAACGGTGCTGTTTGAAATTGCAAAGCCATCTGCAACAGGTATGTCATGCTCACATTGCAGGGAGGCTAGAGAGACTCGGAGAGCTGGGAAGGTGCAATGCGGGGCCCATGCAAACCAAGCAGAAAGGTCCTTCAGTATGTCCTGGTGCCTAAATTCCTCTCCTTTATGCATAAGATTGAGTTTACCTCTGCTGAGGAACTTGTTGTAGAACATGAAGTGATTATTGTGAGATAGGGCATTACAATCAACTGCAAATTTTCCCTTGTTGGCTGGTTATGGTACAGAGTGTCTTTCATGTGCTTTGGCAATTGCGAGAGGGGATATCCTGTGAGGTTGAGGGTGGTTTCAGCTCTGGAGCTGCTAAGGCTGCACCAACTGTTACAGGAGATAGGAGATCTTTTCTGTATTACTTAGTGCCAGTATGAGTCTCAGACCAATTAAACACTTGATACTCAGTGCCTAAGTTTTAGCCAGCTCGTCCTGCTACACCCGCTAGCCAGTATTGCCTTACGTGTACGCTGTTAGCAGAATAACTCTGAGCTCGTGCGTTTTCTAGAGCAAGATGAAGAGGATGAAGATGACAACAGTGAACTGGACGCTAGTGCAGGCCGCTTTGTTCGTTACCAGTTCACCCCAGCATTTCTCCGTCTTCGGACTGTTGGTGCAACGTGAGTATGTGTTCATAGAAAGGAGAATCAGATGTTTAGAAAGTGTCACTTGAGAGTTTATAACAAAACTGAGGCAAAGACTAGAGAAAACACATCTTACACTACAAATATCGAAGTCTGTCTTTCTGGAATGATCTGTTGGATTCTTGTGTAGCCTTGGGTCCAAGGCTCCGTTCTTCCCAATAGGAAGAGGAGTATGTTATCTTAGCTGGTTTTTCCTGCTTTTTGCATGCAGAGTGGAATTCACAGTGGGAGAAAAGCCAGTGTCAAACTTTCGAATGATTGAGAGACATTACTTCCGAGATCGCTTGCTGAAGAACTTCGACTTTGATTTTGGCTTCTGCATTCCCAGTAGCAGGAACACGTGTGAACACATCTATGAATTCCCTCAGCTCTCAGAAGACCTTAGTAAGTATCTCCTTTCCCGCACCGAGTTGTGCTTTGTTTGTGTCTGTGCATGTGCTCATTTTCTCCTTCTCTCTTCTTGTGAAAGAAGTGACTGGGATGGGGGGACAGGAGTAAATAAATACAGATTCTGGGTTTAAGCTGTGTGTAGTCCTGATTGAATTACAGATTCGTGCTGCAAATTCTCCTTCTTTGAAAATGAAAGCCTAAGACAACCTGTGTTACAGCTCATAGGCTGCGAGAACTGATCAGTCACAGGGCTGACGTGCCTGGTGCCTAACAGTGTAGCCCAGAAGACAACACAACCCTGAAAAAGGGTTCACTTGGTAGCCGTGCATCTGTTTTCAGCCCTTGCTTGTTAGAGCTTGAGCCTCCTGCTTTGGAACAGAGCTGGCTCTTCTCTGAGAGGTGTGTTTTTTGAGCCTACCAAGATCTCTGCAAATACACCTTGCGCAGGGTATGTTTGCCCTCGGGGGATGGATAGAGCAGGAGCACGTGGGCCCTTCTGTGGCTGCCTAGGTGCGGGAGGACGTGCAGAGTTTGTGACCCACCTGTGTGCACGTGGGGAGTGCCACCGCTTTTGGTACGTGGATTGCTACCCCTCTGTTACAGACGGGATTGCTGCTCTGCTCTGTGGTGGCTCGGAGAGTTTCTAAGGTCATCTTGTGCGAGACCGCTCGATCCCTCTTTGTTTGCTTTGGACAGCACTTGCCTTGTGAATAGGCAGAATAGGAAGGGGCAGGCCAGAGCTTTTGAAGCGCGCTCAGGAGAGAAGTTTACGTCTCTTTCTTGGATAGGGCAGAGCATCAGCCTGGGAAATCCGGGAGGGTGGCAGAGTCCTTTTTACTGTCCAGTGGAGTGTGGCAGGCCTCTGAATGTAATTGAGCTTTCTCTTTCACAGTTCGTCTGATGGTTGAAAACCCGTACGAGACCCGCTCAGACAGCTTTTACTTTGTGGACAACAAGTTGATTATGCACAACAAGGCCGACTATGCTTACAATGGAGGACAGTAATCATTCTGTGTCCACTGGATGCTGTGATGCTGTTAACCATTCCAGGTGTCCAGGAGTGGACTGGAGTTGCTGTCTTGTGCAACAAGGCTTCTTGCCAAACCTTTTCTCCTTGCATGAGGCCGAAAAGATGAAGAAACATGAAGCAAAGACTACAGCTCATGAAAGTAATCTCCCTGCAACACTTCTCTATCCGACACTCAGTGTATCCTGCCTCTCATTCTCTATTTCTGGTTACCTTCTGGTACCTACATTAGCTCATGGATCAGAGGCACTATTGGAAAATTCTTACTGTTACAGTCTTTATAGTTAGGTTGCACCTTTAATGATTCCGATGTTTCACCAATTGGGTGACTGCCCTCTTTCAAGAGGTCAGATTGTTTGGGTAAGCTATTTCTTAGCAGGGAAATTTTACCCTTTCAAGTAGCCAGTGACGCCTGAGGAGCAGATCTCTTCTTCAGTTGGATAGATCATCTCTTTAGTGCACGATGGTCTAGTCTGTAGCATGGCAGACATTGCATTCTAGGGTGCATCCCAATATTCTCCAGTGGGAAGGATAAAATAAGAGACTAATTCAGCTTCTAAGCGGTGCAGGAATCTTCTTTCTGCCTCCAGGGGCCTGAGCTGCCCCTGAGAACAGTTTAATCTGTGTCTCGCCAGAGATTTCACTGGAGATATGAGGTAGGGGAATAAAGGGGCTTTACCCAGGTTGGTCGAAGAGTCAGTCTGATAGCATTTCTGTTGGAGCTCTTGTGAGCAAATTGTTGCATTTTGGAGCTCATGGGTCAACCTTAGAGCTGAAGTTAATCTCACTATGTTTACTGTTTCTCCTGCTTCCCTCTGCGTTGGGATTTTTGCTCTTTCTACAGAATGTATTGCTTTTTAGATCGACAGCGCGTTGTCAGTCTAGCTGGGGTGGAGGGCAGGTGTCAGTCTCGTGGGGCTTAGAAGAAAAAGGGAGAGTATGGAAAATTGCTTGAAAAATGTGTAGGAAGCAGAGCTTCCTAGGCTTCAGTCTTTCTATACTTTTAAACCTGAATGATCTGTCAGAGGTGCTGGAAGGAGAGATGGTGACGTTACCAGCTCATTTGCTTTGTTTCAGTTGAGGTATTAGTAGCTAAAAGCTTCCCGGGTCAGATCCCTCAGTGTTACGGAGCGGGATTCTTACAAAGTGAGAATTTACATGATTCTCTTTTTAATTCTTCGAGCTTTGCCTACTTAGCTGCTTATTTATGGTTTAGGAAGTTCTTCTGCCAAGGTAGTTATCGCCAGACCAGAGGGTGTATTTCACAGCTGCGTTTGGGATCTGGGGACAGGAAGTGGCGTCGGGCAGTGGGAAGAGGAGACCCAGAGTCTTCCCAGCAGCCATGCTGGGGCCCAACTCCTGACCGTGCAAAATCTCAGCTGACAAACCCCTGCTCTGCCTATTTTGCTGGCTCCCAAGACTGGCATTTTTCCTGTCCCCTCACTAGGCTGGTCAGTTGTGTCTCTTGTACGTGGGAGTTAGGTTGTGCCTGGACTAGAGACATTTGCTAGTATTAGTTCCATTCGTTCCTTGAGACAGCTGAAACCTCACTCCTTGGTGGATACCGTTGGTTACCTGTTGTGTTAAGGTACATTCAGCGTAGTGTGTGTTTTAGCAGGATTAAGTGGGGTGGGCATCACGGCCTGGAGCCTGTTAATGCGTAGAGAGCAATAGGAAACCACTGCCTTTACCTCGCAGATTAATGATACTAATTTTGGTGTAGAAGACCAGCTGGCATCGGGGTAGGCAGTGAGAGTAGGTGGGGTGGCAGCCATGAAAGAATCTTCAGCTCTTGGGAAGATACTTAATTATGATTAACCACATCAAATGACCTGTTCTGGGTGGAGCATTAGTCATAAGCAACCACAACAAATGTCTTGGGAATGCGGAGGGGCAAGGTCTGTCTGGTTGAAAGCGAAGAGCAATTCTGCGACCATCAGTCCTCTCAGTGTCTCCAAAGGCACTTAGGCGATCTCATTTAATTATTTCAGAATTAGTTAAAGCTGCTTGTAAGGTGGCTTGAGATGCCTCTTGCAGTGATTGACTTCAGAAGGCCTCGTGCCGTGCCAGTGAGGTGGGAAACATTTGTTTTGCTGGAAGTTACTTGTGACAAGGCAGAACTGCCTGGAAGCGTGGTTTTTGTCCTGAAGTGTTCTGAGATGCTCAGGACAGTGTCTGAAGAGCCTTCTATAGTCCTTCCCCGGGAAATTTTAGCATCTTGAGCTGAATTTGTATGTAGTATAAATCCAGGTGCCTTTAAATGTTACTTTTGTCACATTTTCTGTATGAAGCAACCTCTTGCTTTTCTTAAGAGTGTGATGATTCCCATCTGTTCTCTATGACCCTGCGTAAAGGTTCTTAAAAGGAAGGTGGACTGTTGCCAGAGGGCGCAGCAGAAATTACTGTCCGGGCAAATGCCGACTTGTGCGAGCTGTTTGTAGCTCTGCAGGCCGGGGTGTTGGCAGCGCCGTGGGTGCCATCTAGCCGCCGCTTTGCAGAATGCGACCGAGAGCAGGAGGGACAAGTGTCAGAGGCCTTTGATGCTTATAGGCAAGTGAATTCCTGTCTTTAGGCATTACCTCTGCCAGCAGTGATGAGAAAAAAGCGTTGAAGCGGTTGCTTTCCCATTGGTGAATGTATCAGCTATTCAGCAATAAGAAAAGGAAAACTGGAGGGAAATCGGAAGACTTGCAGGCAGCAGTAGCACCCCTCAGTTTCTAGCTAAATTTGTTTGCTTTGCCACATGAGAAGTTCTTTGCCCAAAAAGCATGCTGCAGAAAAAAAGTCCCTACAAGAGGGCAACCCAGCACTAAAAAAGTAATCCAAAAAGTCAGGGCTTTCTGAACGGCTGTCCCCACTTCAGCCACTTCCCTAGGGTTCCTTTTCTCTTAGATGCTTTCTAAAAGCGTCTGCTCTTTGTGGCAGGAATGATGTCTTTGGTAAATGTGGTTTTACAGAGCATCTTCCTTCTGGATTGTGTGCTCTGGTGCTTTAATGATGGCTCAGAGCTACTATGCCAGTGAGCTAGGAAGAAATTCCAGTGGGATCTCATTGCTGTCAGGCAGATGGCCTGTCCTAGCCAGGTGCTGAAGGCGAGGGAGATGCTTTCGGTGTCAGCTGAAGTTTGAGCAGGGGAAAAGGCATCTGTGCAGACAGCTTCTCGCAGGTCCCGTGCTGAGTTGGAAAGAGAAGAGAGTTGGGGTCATCCTGTGTTCTGCTCTGACAAAAAAAGGGACCAAACCCACAAACTCATGCTGAATCTTTCCAGTATTTGTCCTCTTAGCACCAGGACCTCTTTTTCACATTTTGGAGCCAAGTGCTTTGGATCCATGCAAGCAAGCTTCCTGGGCAGCTATTTTCATGATTGACTGAGGAATATGGATTGCGCCTTGTGAAGGAAGGTCGTCTCTTGTACGGACTGGGTACTGCTGTCCTTGTCCTCCATTTTCGGTAGGAAGTGTCTTCCTCTGTGTGTTTTCCTTAGGATTCTCAATGTCTCTTGCTGCAGAGAAGCAGCAGCCTCCTCTCTGGTGTCTGAGGATGTTTATTTCACTTACCCAAGGGTTCAGGAAGATTAAACCAAGTGTTCAGCAGTTGGAAATGAATGAGGAAGGTGGTGGTGGTGAAGCAGTGAGGTCCAGACACGGTAACTGCTTCTCAGCTCTGTGTCTCGTGACGTCCTCTTCAGCTGTTTGCCGGTGTTTGTCTTCTGCCCTGCTGTCCTGTCACATCGAGCTACCGAGCCTTGTGCTGCCCCAGCGCGTGGCATCGGGTCTCATCCTCAGCCTCGAGCACTGCCATCTCCCCGCAGCTTTCCGAGGAGGAGGGAGGGGACCAAGGGACGGCTGCCATCGCCTCTTCCTCTGCAGCAAGGGAAAAACGAACACCAGCAACCACCGTCTCCGCCTGCCT